CATGTGAGACACCAAGTGTGAAGAGCAGATCTGGTCTCCAAACTGACAACCATCCAAAGGGCAACGTGGCAATCTGGATCTCATTACATTCCAATTTCCAATAACAGCCTCATCCCTGTCATCAACCACCTGTCCACAACAACAACAATAAAACCAATAACCATATAAGTAGATCATACCCAGACCAACTATGGTTGAATTGAAGATGAACATTTCACATTTTCACCTTGAAATTAAATTAGCAATGTTATATTTCCAACCTAACCACACGTGGTATTATATTGTGCATAAGAATCTTTAATTTCCTACATAAAAAAATTTCATTAATACAATCCAATCAAATGTATAATATGATTTATTAGAAACTCCATACCCACCAAGCACATCATCATTCAATATTTTGAATCCTAAACAGAGAGAGAGAGAATATGAGTTTATGTTGTATTGGAAGCAGCAAGTAATTTTTAGGTAACTCTTCTACAACCATTCACAAGGAGATGCATTCAGTCTTCAATTTGGATCTGTTCATCATCCAATCATCCATTTTCAAACCAATCAACTTGGCAAATTGGCAACCATTTAATATGCAGCAAAAAACGTAATCGGCTGTATGCAATGGTCAAGTATGTAAAAATATACTTTAGAATTAATAAAAAGTAAATAAATTGATTGAGATCTAAATTTAACATGCATCTAATATTAATGAACCAGTTAACACTGCCTGCAGCCATGTGCATGCAGTACCACCTCCAGTCTACGTTTATCCCCAAAAAAGCAAGGAAATACATGTTCCTGCCTTGGGGCTTGGGGTAGGGATAATGCATTAATGCCACAACCACAAGCGAACCACATAACATAACCGATCCATAATCAGTAGTCACCACATGTTCGATTAAATTCCTGACGTGTTTATTTGTTATTGTGCTCTGTAGCTGTCATACTAGCCTTATTTTCTAGCACATCCGGATTTCCTGAGTCAATGACAACATTAATTAATTCATATTACGCAAGTGCAGAGGACAGGTCGCTTCATGGAAATAAGATACTTTGGTACACCATTAGATTTAGTTTCTCGCACATGGAGGAATTTAATTTTAGGCAAATACAGAGTCCAGACCATGAACTGAGACTATCCACCAAACAAATTTTCACCTTTTCATGTTGATGGTTTTACAATTAATACAAACCATTTACCACCAATCAACTTCAAGTGAAAATGGAAGCATAGGCCCACAGAAAACTTTTCAAGTCAATAGATTTTGCGACGTCTAGCAGACAGAGAGACAGACACAGACACAGACCGGGTGTGGAAGGCGATGTGTAGGACTAGGACGGACCTGAGATGCCAATTGCCAGAGTCAAGTACCGTCCACAAACACTGAACGATCATGAGTTGCGACCAAACAATAGGAAAATGAAACCTCCTCCTCTTAACATTATTCAATTTTGTATCGAGTGATCTGTCTATCACGGGAATGCTTCAGATATGAGAGATCAGGATGATGACGATCAAACAGTTGAAACGACTTCTCCTCATATGTCCGTCCACTTTGTGAGAATGATGCCACTCCAAGCCAACATTGATGGCTCCATGGTCACTCACCAGTCACCACACATCAAAATCTTCCCGAAGAAAGGGATTAAAAGGTTCTTCTCACTTCTCTTTTCATTTTGGAATGCTGTGTGGATTGCGGAATGTTGAATATCTTAGTTCACACCTACATAATTCCAAAGATGCAACACAACTGAGGTTAGGTCGGGTTGATCTAACTATCTGGCCCAACCCAATGTGTTCAACCTTCATAGTCCATTTTGACCCTAACCCATCTTCACACACATACCGATGCAAATAATCATGGTTTTCAAAATCGGATCGGACTAGACGATTGGACCAGAAAAATTGGTAATCGGTCAGTCCCCCGGGTCCGGTTTTATTAAAAACCGGAAATTGTTAAAAAAAGGTTGAAAAAGTCAGCAAACCATTAACCCGGGCAGTGGTTCACGGGTTAGTATTTTTATTTTCAATATTTTAAATAAAAAAAACAAAAAATAAAATACCTTTTATATCCCCAACCCTTTAACACTTGCAGCGACAACTTGTAGCGGCGAACGGCGAACTACGAACGGTGAACAGTGAACAAAAAATAAAATACCTCACCCTCACCAGCACTTGCAGCTGGGACTTGCAATGGCAAACGATGAACGGCGAACAAAAAATAAAATACCTCACCTTCACCAACACTTGCAACGGTGACTTGCAGCTAGACCTGTTCATGGGCCGGGCTGGGGTCGGGATTTTACTCATCATTAATGAAAATATGCTAGGCCCGAGCCCGAGCCCGAAGCCCGACCTAATAAAAAAATTACAATTTTCCCTATTCAAATTAGAATTAAAAATTTAGATGGTTTTTTTTCCTATTTAAATAAACAACGGGCTTACAAGATGGTTTTTTTCCTTTTCTTTTACATTTTAAAACACAGTTTTACATTCTTAAATCAAAAAATTTATTCAAATAGATATAATCACATAACCCATTTTAAGTCTAATTTTAGGTCGGGTCGGGCCGGGCTCGAGTTATTTTGACAAAACCTGAGCCCGACTTTATTGCAGGCCGGGCTTTTTGGCCCGAGTTTAAGCCCGCGGGCCTATAAACATGTTCAAGCCCGTCCGGGGGCCAGGCCGGCCCATCGGGCCACCCGGCCCATGAACATGTCTACTTGCAGTGAAGAACGGCGAGCTTGCAGCAGCACTCGGCACTAGGCATTGGCGACCAAGCCCACTGTCACCGTTCGCGATCATCTCAATCCCGAATCACAATCATCTCGATAAATATTTTTTGTTTTTTATTTATTTATGACAGCATGGGTCGAACGGTTCGATCTGGATGATTGAACCATCGAACCGAAAAACGGTGCCCTGATCAGTTCGTTCTCCAGATCGGTTTTAAAAACCTTGCAAATAATTACAATGAAAACAAGTCTTCTTTATTAGTAAATTTAATATTAATATCAGGGTAAAATACACAATCCTCCCTTAAAATTTCTGACGATTATAAAAGCCTCTCCTATAATTTTATTTTAGCAAAAGCCTCTCCTAAATAAGGTCTCCATGATTGAAACTGCATCGGTTTAGTTATCGGAAGAAGGAATTTTTATTTATTTGTTTAGATATTAATATGAGTTTTGATTGGGCAGGGCTGTTTATGGCGCTCCAACAGTAGTAATGGTTACGGCTTCCATTGCTATTGGCTTACGAGACCAGCTCCTCCACATCGCAATTTTACAGGTCAAGCTCCCTCAAGGGATTTGTCCCTTTCGTCTTCGCCAAAGAGTATAACATTCATCTAGCAATAAAAAACTAAGTTCAGATTTGATATGTTGTTAATTTACCGTGTTCAGAAATTGATGTTGTTCAACGTTTAAATTTTAGGGTGATGTTTGGAATGTTAATAGCGTTGTCAATCACATTGATTTACTACCATGTTCAGAGATGGATGTTTTACCGCTACTCGAAGAAAAGAAAGAAGGCGCAAAGGATTTGGGTGTGTGATAAGGGTAATTTCGTAAATGCAGATGAGTAATTTTGTAAATGGTGATGTTTTCCCTCTAAGTCATTGAGGGAAGGGAGATTTTTGCCTAATTATTTAAAAATCCAGGGAAGGTTTTTGCTAAAATAAAATTATAGAAGAGGTTTTGATGATTGTCAGAAGCTTTAGGGGAGGTTTTTATATTTTATCCTTAATATTAATATATTATAAATTTCAATTATCGTTGTTATTTGTGAAAAGCGCTAATAAAAGATAGAATACAGAGCTGACGTAACTATAAGTTTGAACAATGGGCTCAGATTGAACAGTGGGCTCAGGTTGGTGCTAAGACCCATTAAATACTTAACAAATTCCCAATCCAACCTAGGGATAGCAATTTCTACCCTACCTAGCAGGTATCTATTCCAATTGGGTGTATTTTTCCTTGAATGATAGGTTTTGGAGCATGGAGGGTTTTGAGATTTTACAACACATACGGGTATAGATACAGTACAATATTGAGCTAAACCTGATGAGGGGTGATTTGGCCCGACCTGATAAGCAAAGGATATGTGGACGCGACCTGCCAACTAGATGATGACTCGGCACCTCCGGCCACCTCGACGAATCGAGCCACCTTGAGTGTCCCGGTCACATTAAATAGCACTGAAGTCTGGGTACCTTGGATGACCAAATCTGCCGAAGTGACACGTAGCAGATCTAGAAGCCCGCCAGCTATCTCCGAGCCTTCCGGGATCATACCACGCAACCGTAGGCCTCATCCTCATCCTGTCTAAATCGGATGGACACGATGAGCCTTATCAGCCAGCACGTTATCCACCTCTTGAAGCGGAACGGACTCCTACAAATCGAGCCGGAGATCTCAGAGAGGTTTCGTGAGGCTTACGGCAGTTCAACTATATGAAGGCATCAGCCCCTAGTACCTAGGGAGGCACGCAGTTAAGTGCATTCTAACTCTCAAGGTTACTGCTTTCCAGTTCGCAATTCACTACTAAGTACTAATTTAAGCATTGGATTGGCCTCGCCAGGTTAGCCACCCTGGGTACTCTGATCCATCTCACTTGCAATTCGAGCGATCCATTTGGCAACCGACGTCCGAACTACCTTCTAACTAGGAGCATTTAGATCACACACCATCAAAACCCAACCCTCCCTGACCCTATATTGTTGAAAAGCATATAACATTTATGTATTAGGTGCTGAATTTAATAATATTTTTAATTTTATGTGAAGGATAATTGATAACTTATGCATTTTTTATAATGTATTTATCTAATAATTGGAAACTTTGTTGTTTGTTTGTGGATTCTGTGTTTTTTATTTATTTATTTATTATATATAACAAGAAATAATAGGAAATTAGATGTGGATTCTAAACTCAACCCACCCGTACCCTTGAATGCAAGCAAGGTAGGGTGGAAGAGGATTTTGCATTTTCATGTACAAGGAGGGTTTGGATTTTCAAAATCTAACCTGCTACGAGTTTTGGGGTGGATATAGGTTGGGAGGTTTAGGGAAACAGATAGGGTCTAGAATTTACAAACCCGTCCCATTGCCATCCCTAATCCAACCTGACCCAAGTGGCTCCCCTACACAAATTCATAAATGCTTGCACATTGCAGGAATGAGACCAGATTTGTGCAAAATATTTTTGCTGTACAATACGCTTTTCAGGCCAAACTTTGTTCCAAAATTGTGGTTCAATCAGCTATTCCGGTCACCGTGACAACTGATGATCAAAATCAGCTAGTCTCGTCTGTGACAACTCACCTATCAACCTTCCCAGAGATGTCCGCTCAATACGTAAGGCAGTGTAAGACTCTTTATGGTACAAAAAGCCATTCTGAGTGATAAATACCGATAATTAATGATTCATATAAAACAATGATAGGAAAAAGAAGTACCAAAATGAATGTCATCTCTTTGTTTCTCATGAGGATGGTTCTGAATACAAGTTAAGCAAAATTGCAAACGTTAAACTAACATGACTATACAAGTACCTTCTTTTTGGGTTCCAGAATAGGAGGGTCAACATCAATGCCCATGTTAGCAGCAGTGCCAGCAATAATTCTCATTGCTGATTCAATGGTCGAACAGTTTAAGTCTGGAAGCTTTTCTGTTGCAATTGCACGTAACTGGTCAATTGTGACCTTCCCCACTTTCTCTCTCTTTGGGTCTTTAGAACCTTTCTCCACTCCTGTACACCACGTTGTGTGATCATAATTAGTTTCAGATATTCTGCTAATCATGCAAAAAATTTTCCCTATGATATTTTCCCTAGCATAAACAAAATTTATGCTATTTTCACCAGCATGTTCCTAATCTTCATTTTAATAACTATCATTGGTCAAGTCCAAAACTTGTCTTACAACAAATCATAAACAAAGCATGATATTGACACCCCTATCTTCCTAATTCATATAATAAAACCAACAGTACATTTTATTTTTGACTTATCTTTTACCACATCTGTTGTTTTTTTTTATATTTTACATAATAATACTACTTGTGCACCCATAATTTAACGATGGATATGACACTGAACAGAAGGGAATGGTGCAGGGTTCATGTAGCTGACTCAACATAGCTGGGACAAGGCTTAGATGATGATGATGAAGATTTACATAATAATACCACTTGTATAATAAGATATCTTATCAATAGCACTGATGTAAATGCACATGGACATCATAGGTTACTATGGACACCGATTATTTTGTAAGGTTTACCAGAGATGCTCCTTGATAGGATTGCATGGCCTTCCCAAAATGAAGTGTTTGTGTAGGACATGCATCAGATTCTGACATACAATGAATTCTAAGGAATGCTTATGAACATTTTCTTTTTTTCCTCCTAGCTTATTTAACATAAATGAACAGCTAAGGCTCAGTTTGGGAAGAGTTCAAATACAAATATGTATACAAATACAATGTTTAGAAATACTGTATATAAGCTTTTGCACTGTACATATTTGTATTTTTACTCTTCTCAAATGGAGACTAAAGTACAAACTGAATGTCATTTTTCCTATAAAATGTTACTTAGTAACAAAGGCAACATTTTGTACCTTTTTTTAACCAGGATATGATGCTAAAATTCCAAAAATATGAACTATTTTAATGGTGCATGATTTTCTATAGATGTGACCAAGAATCCATGTTTTTTGTCTTGCCAAGTCAGACTCTTGAAATGCATCAGATTCTCACTCCTGTGTCTATCTCCGTGCTGTTCCTTGGTGAACTTAAATATGTCAAAGTGAAAAAAGCATCAGTTACACCTCAATTAGATGTCTATACTGCAATGTCCTTTGACAATTAACATTCATTTTTTCAACCAGCTTACTACCACTTAAAATCTCCCCACCTCAATGTTTTTGAGATAGAAAGGATTTCCCAACTTCAATCCTTGTAGTAATTCCATTACTTCTCTTCTTGAGTTTCCAACCTGAGAAAATTTATTTCTTCTTAACTGAAGATTTTCTTGCCCATGCATATGCCTTCCCCTTTCTTCCAAAGTTCTCAACTCAATTGCCTCTGGTATCTCGCTGGTTTACTTCTTCAAGCCTGCCAAAGGACAGTCCCAAGAACACAGTTTGAAAGTTCTTCCTCCCTGGGAGCCTCCTCCCATTCATTGCCTAATAATTTTCCTTCACCAATGCAATTATAGTCAATTTATGTACAGCTTTGCTAAACCCCTGTTATGGACGCATTCCTCGGGAAGAAGTATCATCGCCGCCAACAGCAGCAGGGACCTGACCGCCGCCAGCAGCAGCAATGATTCAATGCTCTCATCCTATCCAGTTCGGCAACAGCAGTCTTATCCAGATTAGATTAGACTATCTTACTTGTTCTTATCTTATCTTATTAGTTGATTAGATTAGATTATCTTATCAGATTAGGATTAAGAGAGACTTATCTTATCCTATCAGCCTTACCTTATCAAGATAGAACAGGAGGTCTCCCTATTCAGCAAGGAGTCTCCCTAGGATTAGGACTCTTGTAATCTCCTATTTAAGGAGACACCATTATTGAATGAAGATATCGAATATTCAGTCAAGAAGTGAGTTAGGAGAGTTGGTGATCTCTTGAACAAATCACCAAGGCGCCAAGATAGGTTCACAAGAGCAGGAAGGAACAAGGGAAAACAGGAGGTTTTCCCCGTGGACCGACCCGTGACGAGATCCTATTCGCGGGCCCTCAACAACTTGGTATCAGAGCAAGGCGTCATGGGAGATCTGGAATAGCTGCCATCCAGGGTCCACGACCTCGAGCACCAACTCGTGGAGACCAGTTCAGAAGTACGTGAGATCAAAGACGAAGTCAGGGAGCTACGGCGTCTGATGGAGTTATTCCTTTCTAGCAAGGAAAGGAACACTGAAGGGGGGACAGCCACTAGCGGCCACCGACCAGATCTGCCGGAGTCTTCCGGCGAACAGCAATTCGTTAGCCAGGGGGCCGCAGTCATCCCCAAGTACAGCAGGTTAGAATTCCCTTCGTACAACGGCAACGGAGACCCCTTGGGCTGGCTGTACCGGTGCGAGCAGTTTTTTCGAAATCAACGGACAGACGACCGGGATAAGGTAAGCCTAGCCGCCTTTCACTTAACAGAGGAAGCACAACTTTGGTTCTATCAGTTAGAACAAGAAGAACCCGGGCTCAGTTGGCCCCAATTCAAGTCCTACTGCCTTCTTAGGTTCGGACCCCCACTGACAAGCAACCCCCTAGGCGAGCTGATTAACCTTAAACAAACCGGCACGGTGGCAGAATACCAGCGCCAGTTCCAAACCCTCCTCGCGAGGGCATCCTCAGTGCGACCGGACCAGCAGGTGGACATGTTCACAGCAGGGTTAGCAAAACCCCTGCGGGTGGACGTAGAGATGCAGAATCCCCCAAACCTAGTTACAGCCATGAACTTAGCCTGCGCATTCGAGTGCAAGCTGCAACCCTGCCGCGGGACCTACAATATGGGACGTCCGCCGAACTCATGGACACCCCCGAAATCAGTGACAACGACCCCTTCTTCTGCAGGAAGCAACATGGTAGCTCCACCCATTAAGCGTTTGACCAGGGCAGAAATGGCAGTACGCCGAGCGAGGGGCCAATGTTTCAATTGCGACGACCTCTACTCGGCAGGACATAGGTGCAAGAGGCTTTTCTGCCTCCTAGTAGAAGAGCAAGAGGAGGATGAAGAAGAACCCGTCATATTCGAGCCGGAGATCTCTCTCCACGCGATCACCGGAATAAAAACCTCTCAGACCATGCAGTTACAGGCATAGATAGCAGGTAATCCGGTGCGCATACTCGTCAATTCAGGGAGCACACACAACTTCATAAGTGAACATGCCGCCCTTCAGTTAAAACTACCAATGGAACTCCGGCCACGACTACAGTTAGCCGTCGCAAACGGTGAAAGAGTTCACAGTCCGAGAATCTGTAAGGACGTCCAGATATAGGTCAACTCTGAACTTTTCTCTACTGATTTATTCGTACTCTCCTTAGATGGATTCGATATTGTTCTTGGGGTCAAATGGTTGATTACCCTAGGTCCAATTTTATGGGACTTCAGCACACTCACAATGACATTCCACTTAAATGGGAAGCAAGTTTCTTGGCACGGTTGAAGGGTTAAGGAGAGGACACCACAGGTTCATGCGCTTCAGACAGAACCGACAGCCATGGAAAGACTCCTCGCCAAGTTTTCAGACGTATCCCAGGAACCCAAGGGACTCCCTCCTCCCCGAGCATGCAACCATCGAATCCCTCTGGTGGCGGGTTCAGAACCAGTCGTTGTCCAGCCTTATCGCTACCCTCACCTACAGAAGGACGAAATAGAAAAACAATGTGCAGAGATGCTGAAACAAGGGATCATACGCAAGAGCCACTCCCCCTTCTCCTCGCCGGATCTGTTGGTGGCGAAACAGGATGGAACTTGGAGGTTCTGTGCTGACTACAGAGAGCTCAATGGCCGGACGATCAAGGATAAGTTCCCTATTCCCATTGTGGACGAATTGTTGGACGAGCTGCATGGTGCTCAGTACTTCTCCAAGTTGGACCTCAGGTCCGGGTATTTCCAGGTCCGCATGGCTCCCGGTGACGTGAAGAAAACTTCCTTTCGAACCCACCACGGTCACTTTGAATTCTTAGTCATGCCATTCGGTCTCACCAACGCCCCATCCACATTCCAGTCATTGATGAGCGAGGTATTTCAGCCCCATCTGCACAAATTTGTTTTAGTATTCTTTGATGACATCCTCGTTTATAGCAAATCATGGGTAGAGCATGTGCACCATCTGCGGACCGTTTTCGAGCTCCTACGCCAACACAAACTCTTCATAAAACAGTCCAAGTGCTCTTTCGGGGAGCGGCAGGTTCTTTATCTAGGCCACGTCATCCACGGGCAAGGTGTGACGGTTGACAATTCCAAAATTCAGGCTATCAAGGAATGGCCCAAACCTCAATCCGCCAAGGCCTTACACGGGTTCCTAGGGTTAACAGGTTACTATTGCAAATTTGTACAGAATTATGGACTGTTGGCTGCCCCGTTAACCAACCTGTTAAAGAAAAATTCCTTATTGTGGGACAACGCAGCCGATGCAGCTTTTCTGACACTAAGAGATGCCCTGTCTTCCACCCCAGTCCTATAATTACCAAATTTCGCTCTCGAATTTACAGTCGAGTGCGATGCCTCTAGAATGGGTATCGAGGTCGTGTTATAGCAGCAAGGGCACCCGATTGCCTTCTTCAGCCGCAGACTGGTCGACCGTCATTTGAAACTTCCAGCCTATGAGCGCGAACTAATCGGCCTAGCTAGAGCCGTCCAGCACTGGAGGCCGTACTTGTGGGGGCAGTCGTTCGTCGTCAAAACCGATCATTACAGCCTCAAATACCTGTTGGAACAACGTCTCACCACTTCCCCTCAACAGCATTGGGTTAGCAAGCTGCTCGGGTTCGATTTCCGAGTGGAATACAAGGCGGGAACCTCAAATCGCACAGCTGATGCCTTGTCTAGGTGCGATGAAGACGCGATGTCTCTGTGTGGAATTTCCCAACCCCGGATCTCTCTGTTAGACGACATCAAGAAGGCGACGCCACAGTCTCCGGAATGGTCGCTCCTGTTCCAGAAGATCTAGTCCGGCGCTGCTGACTCCAATTGGTCCCTTCAGAACGGGTTGGTACTATATAAAGGCCAGGTACATCT